GTACAGCTCGTATAATAAGTAAAGCTTAGTCTCTTTTCTTTGGGCATCATTAAATGCAAACAAAGAGTTAAATAGTTAGCTTTATTTTTGTACCTCCGCCCAGGTGAACCGAACAGATGAAGGCGTCACCACCAACAAGGGCCACTCGTTCCTGTAGTAGGCCGCTATGCAGATGGCCTGCACCGTCTTTCCCAAGCCCATGTCATCAGCCAGGAGGAGGCGGCCTTGCTTAGACACTGCAAAGCTGCGTGCAAGTAAAAAAAAAAATACAAAATTCAAAATTACAGATAACTCTCAGCAAACAACCTAAAACTGAACTGGTCAACAAAGACTCATTATCTCCAGACTTTTACGAACGACCCGAGATGTAAAGTGGTATTGACTTATTGGGTATGTTGTGCTGAGAGAGCAGGAGCTGCTGCCCAGATACACCTACTTGACTCCCTCCTTCTGGAAGGGCATGAGGCTGGAGGTGAGGGTGGGGTCGATGCTTGAGAGGTCCGCCTCAGGGACGTCTGAAGACTTGGCGACGGTCCCGTTGAAGCTGGCAGCGAACGCCTGAATTACTGCCCTGGGAAGAGGCTCCACCTCCACTCCTGCCATCCCACTGAGCAGATCCACTGAGCAGGAAACATGACATGGTTAGACAAGATGGTGAAGGCAGCACAGACAGTGAGGAGAGCAGCAATAAAATGGTGTTACTCAGTCTCTTGTAGTCCTCCAGTGAAAAGCTCCACTTTCGTGTCTTCATGTCTGCAATAAAGGTGAATTTTGAAGAAACCTTTAGAACGCCACAAAAACATTAGGAAAGCCTGAAATTAATAAAAAAAATAAAAATAAAAAAGGAGGCTTTTGTACCATAGTTTTTTGTTGGCATCTGCTTAAACACTGCGATGACGTCAGCATGGTAAGGGATGTCAACCTCAAACTTCGTCCGCGACACCAGGATGCACTGCCCTTGCACACTGGCGCCGGGTTTCTGCCAGCCATTGCACAGCTTCAGCAGCGCCGCCAGTGCTGCACCGTCACAGGGTCGGCTGGGCGCCGAGTCCAAAGCGGCGATTCCCTCCAGCGGCCTCAGGGAAACCGAGGGAATGGCAGCCACCTGGTCCACTGCAGCAGGACGTCAAAATACAGAAACACCACAAATTGTGCTTTCAACCTTTAAGCTTACTTTAAAGAGCTGATTTGTTCTTAGTTTCCATACTCAGCTGTGTGTAGTCATCCAGACTGAAGTTCCATGTTTTTGTGGCAGGATCTACGGCAGAGAAAAAGATTTCATTGCTCCAAAAGAAAGTGCAAACTTGGGATACTTACTTAAAGTCAGACAAATATCCAGATCAACAACAATCAAGGCATCTAGTCTATTGCAACTATGGATGATTTATTCTCTTCATCAGGGAAAAGCACAACAATGCTCCCATCATTAAAAGAGTTGTTTTCTTAAATAATTAAATTTTATCTCATTTAAGTGCTCTTTCAATCCTAACCCTGTGGCTGACTTTACATTGATTTGGCTTTAATGATCAAAACTGAGCATCAGCTGAAGGATTAAATATATATTTGGTGTCCAGAATTTGTACAAATTTCCATTACAGAGTTAATATTATATCATATTATATTTTAATTTACAAAAACTCAAACTTCCCGCTATTCTGTTCGTTCTCAAGCCATTAAAAAAGCAAAAAAAACATTTCAACTTGAATTTGTGGTATGTATTTAAAGATGAGGTTTTATCAATGACAGATGGCTCAACATTACTGAATAAGCAGATCGATGGATAGACATATGAATGGACAAACAAATATATTGATGGATAAGTAAACAGGCACATGGATGAGTTGACGAATGAATGGACGGTTTGATAAACAGATGAATAAATGCAGCTTTGAGAGAATGGGATATGGACTAATGTCTGCAGCTAAAAATGTATTTTTTCATCATGCTTTTTTTTTTTTATTCGCACTTATATTCACCTGGCGGATACTTAAATTTTACTCCTGATTCATTAGACTGCGAACTAACCCATGATTTTTTGAGAAAGTTTACTTTTATGGTCTCTTTTAAATGTCATATGTGTGAAGGTGGCTACACTGTTGGATACTCACCATAGTTCTTTGAAGGGATGGACTTAAAAACGGCAATAAGCTCTGCATGATAGCCCACTTCTACCTTGAAACGATCCTCTGCATGAGGCACACACTTCCCTCTCACAGAGATGGCAGCCTTCTTTGCAGCAGCCGATGTGCTGCATCTTGGAGGAGGCTGCGCTGCAGGTATGCTGGGTGGCTTGTAGAATGAGCCAACTGCACTTCCAGATGTGACAGAAATGGCCTGAACTGGCTTCACACCAACATTTCCTCCACCAGATGACCCAAGGTTTTGCAAGTGCTGATTTGTTCGAGGAGGAGGAGCAGTGACCTGAAAATATAACTTATCGATTAAAGAATAAAGAAAACTTCTCGCAGGTTAGATCTGTATGAAAATTTCTCACCTGTCTGAACGAGTTATTCTGAGTATTCTTGTTGACTTGATTGCTAGTACCAGGTAGCAGCTGTTGGTTTGGTCTGTGGATCTGATTGCTGGTTATCTGTGAGTCTTGTTTAAAAGGTGGGACAAACCGTGGTGGTACAGACAAAGGAGGATTTCTGTGATTTTCGCTCTGCTTGGGGAAATCTGTCTGCACTGAAGCACCATTAAATCCCGCTGAAGTCTGCTGTCCGAGTCTTTGGGCTCTTCGCTCCAAAGCTTTCCGTCTGTTCTCCTCTATCTTCCGCTGCTGCTCTGCAGTCAGCTGGTTGGACATGGTGGGAGATTCCTAATTAATTAACACAAATTCGAGCTCACCTTAACACGCGGTTACCAGTAAAAGGGTGATCCATGGAGAAAACACAGGGCTAAGCGTTAAGCTTACAGGCTGTAAACAGACAGTAGCCAACAGCCAATTAGGCTAATGTGTCATCAACGGCCAGATATTATCACTCCGGTTTAACTGGGAATTGAGTTTGTTCAGCTTATATGACCATCATCATTGTCAAAACTACTGAATATCCTCATAAAAACAAGCCGAATCAGCTGCTAACTTTTTAGCTAGTTTAGGATCTGCCGCGCAGGAAGTGACGAATGACAACAAGCGGTTCGGGTGTAAGTGGCAGTTGCTATGAGTGATGGGAGAACGATTGTTTTGAAAGATTCAAGTCTTTTGGCTCGGTTCCCTTAAAAGAAACGGCTTTTAAGGTTCCCAGTTCCTTACTTCAGCATTTATCACTAATATACATCTATTTTAGCATAATTTGGGGATTTCGTTTTTGATAAGCAATTTTCATATTCACTATTTCATAAAAGGCGTTTTCCAGCATTGTTTTCAGTTTAAAAAAAAGTGTCGTTGTTTAAAACAAACAACTTGTGTTTCCTCCCTGAAGCTTTTGCCTTTGGGTTTATTTCTCTTGAGAGTCCAGTAGCTTAATGTCTCATGAAGACAGTGAAAATGCTCAGATTTGCACATTACATTTTATTTAATTATATGTTCTTTATTGAAGATTTGTATTACATTCTATTTCTATTTTGTGGTTTTGATTGTATGTTGGACGGACCAGTTGTCTGTTATGAATTATGA